ATGCCCCGCAGGGCATTCGCGCCAGAGGTGAGACACGAGTTCAGACTGCCCTCCACGCACAGACGCCTTGCTTTAAAGAACAGCGCTGATGGCTGACCTCGGAATGTGACACAGAATGGCTGTGCTGGCACCTTCACAGCCATCTTACCTACTGTCCAAGCCTAAAGTCTGGGCAGGTTACTCAGGACACGATCCCGGCGTGAACACAACTAACTGACGGATCCGCTCCTGACAGTCGCACGCGCCGCGCTGCGGGGCGTGCGACTGTCTTTGTTTGAAGTAAAAAGTCGAATCAGAGCGCCGTCGGCGTTGTCCTGAGTTTTCTTCCCTGGACCGCCCGTCCCGGCACCGCTCCGGGACGCACGCCGGCGAAGCACCATCAAGCTGCTGTACGGCCCCGGCATCGCCTCCCCTGGCTTAGCTAAAGTAGAGCGCCGGCAGTTGACCGGCAAGATGAAGTCCACTGCGCTCGCAATCGGGATGTCCGGAACCGCCTCGCCAGGCGCACAATAGTCCTCAGTCTGGCGAAGGCCAATTCTGTCATCCTGGAAAGCCCAGAGCGGGACGTCAAGAGGCCATTCGGCCGAAAAGCAGCACTGTTTTGGGCGGTACTTCGTGCGGTACCGGCGAGCGGTACCTTGTCTTGTTTAGGGGGTGACGCCGCCGTATGACCGTAGGTGAGGGGCACGACTACCCGCCTGGAAGGCGCTCTCATCAGCAAGTCACCCAGGCACCAACTCCTGGGCGTTTACGCTTGACTACGAAACCATGCAGTGGATGCAGCTCGATCAAAACGGCGACGCCAACAGCTGGTCCCTGGGCGAGTCCTCGCCCAGGATGAGGTGCGAGTCATGATGCTCGACCCAGCGTGCACCAAGTCGCTCACATTCCGTGAGTTCGTCAACGGGCCGAACACACTCTCCAAGTCGACTGCGATCTCGAACTCCGACAACTGGACCGGTGCACCGTCGCGTAGGACGATGGCTCCCTCGACGACATCCCTTCATCGACGGACGCCTTCACCGCCGCCGGCCCTGGGCCATCCAGCGCGGCCTCCGACGGCCTGCACGTGATCGAGCGGGTACAGAAACGGTGGCTGCCGCAGCTCACACCCTAATCGATCTGCCTTAGGCACGGAGCCAACGGAGCCATCGCGCATGCCCGCATCGCGTGCGGCTCCGAGGTCTCCCGCCGAGACCGGCTCGGCGCGGCGCGTGGCCGCACGCCGCCGTTGAAACGGCGAGATAGGACCGAGGGGACAGCGCCGGCCACATCGAGCGAGCGCTGACGTGTAAGGTGTCTGTGCTGCTCCGGTGTGTGTGGGATTCTGCCTCCCCCCCCATCTGTGCGGCGAGTTGTTTGCGGCGCGATGCCCGATCGTGCGCGATAGCCTCCCATTGTGCGTGGTGTGTCGGTTGTCGGGGTCGTCCGGAGCGTGTGGCGGCGCCGTTGCATGCAGCGACTGCTCCACGTGCCACGACTGCTTTGACTGACGTGACTGGCTGATGAGTGCCACGAACTGCTTTGACTGACGTGACTGACTGATGAGTGCCACGAACTGCTTTGACTGACGTGACTGACTGATGAGTGCCACGAACTGCTTTGACTGACGTGACTGACTGATGAGTGCCACGAACTGCTTTGACTGACGTGACTGACTGATGAGTGCCACGAACTGCTTTGACTGACGTGACTGACTGATGAGACATGAGTGCTGATGGATGATCTCCGACAACCCAAAACCAAAATGCAAATGAGTGGCCCACTTTGGCGTGCAGATCCTGCGTCTCTCACTCGCAGTCCCTCTGCGCTCTGGTCCGATACTGGTGTGGTTCTGTCTCTAGTCTCGGAGGGGGGCTTGAAGCTAAGAATATTTTATTTTTATCGCGCGCGCTAGACGCCGACTCGGAGGCCGCACCGGTCGGGCACGATTCACAGTTCAGAAATGATTCCGGCGTCATCTGGCTACCGCGAGAGCGGGGAGCCACTGCGTTGTTCCACCGGGTCCGCAACACGGCTCGCACTGATGTCACGGCCCGGCGCTCCCCCCCCCTCCCCCCCCCCCCCCCCTCCCACACCACCACCCACCCACTCCCCACCGCCTCAAGCGAGCAAAGGAATGGCTGCTCATCGCAAATCGGGAGCGGGCTTCCACGCGCGCGCCTTGCTGTCTCGGGAAGCGACTCGCTCGCGCATCTCACGCTCAGACGCACTCGACTGCGTACTGCTGGCTCTCGACGAAATACGAGTGCTGCAAAAACGACATCACCGTCTGCGCTTGGAACTTAGTGTACCCGGCAGTCGCCATGAGGCAATTGCCCCATGCCATGTCACACTCCGCCATCGTGGTAAACGCGGTGCCGTAGCAGTAGTCGTGGCCGTCGCAGCACTTGACAGTAGCCGGATTATCGTTCGTTCCGGTGAATGATGGTCCCGAGCAGTGGTTGGACGCCGGCTTCCAAGATGCGCGCGCTTGGGCGGTCATTCCGGGCACACATATGCAGCGTGCCTGGTCGTTCGGGCATACCAGGGGCTTGATTCGACGCGCCATGCACCCAATGCCATCCCAGCACCTCGCCGCTTCCTTATCGCCCGTGTTCGGCTCGTTCTTGTAGTTATCGTACATGTCCAGCCTCGGATTTGCTTGAGATTCGTGAGAGGGCTCGAAAAAGGGCTGCGCGACGTTGTAGACGCCGAAAGGGCATTCTGCGTAAATGCAGCTACGCCCAGCCTCATCGACAAATGCATCGGTGCCAGAGCCTCTCAGCAGTAGTGGACGTGCGGCATTCGCTTCTGCGATAGCCGCCTCAACGTCGGCCGCAGTCACTGTCGCCGACATTTCCTTTCGCCAAGGCTGGGTAAAGAACGCTGCACCAGCCTGAGGTCCTGGTGCAAACGTTGTCTGACGAGCAGTTGGCACCAGCACCTCGTCGTCAACATGCGCGCTCATCGCGCGGGCCCCGCCCATGAGCACGGAGAAGAGGAGACAGTGAAGCAACATTAGTCCGACGGCTCCACGCCACCGCGGACTGAATTTCGGCGCTTCACACGACGGGCGCAGCAATTCTTTTTCTCGATGCGCCGCCATCACCGATCCCATGACTCCCGGATTCCCCAGCCTGGTGTCGATCTGTCCATCTGTTACAAGAACGCGCTATAGAGTGGTGGTGGGGGGCGTGCAGTGTGGGACGCACCCTCTAACATGCATGTATCAGTCTTCCTCACCACCCTCAGACCGTGTGGCGATGTGTGTGACTCTATCCATCCTTTCATATATGGACCATCATGACCCAGGGATGTGTGTACAAGCCATTGTGCGCACAAGAGAGAGAGAGCGATCCTGTACCGTGTTTGTTATGACCCCCCCCGATGAACACACCAGTGAGGGAGGGCGAGACGATCGAGGGGTCCCGTACCATGCGGAATCGACCCTATCCAGTGCTCAAGTGCTCAAGAGAGAGCGTACGCACAACAGTTGGCATTGCATCGTCAACAAACAAACTACCACTCTACCACTCTACAAGTACAACTACTTTGGCCTGTCCGAGGGTTTCCTCTCGCACCCTACCTGGTTTCCTTTCCGTGTTTCCTGCTCGTTTCCCTACAACACCCTCTAGTTTCCTCGGGAAACCCCGGGGAAACTCCGTGGAATTCGTCATTTTGGGGGGGCTCTGAGCCGTGTCTGAGGCTGTTTTGGGGCCAAAATCGGCAAAATACCGGGTATTTTGCGGGTATACCTGGAAAACCCCGGTATACCTGGAAAATACCTGGGTATCGTGCCGATTTCCTCAATTTTGCCCCAGATTTTGCCCCAGACCAGCTCTCAGACTCAGGGAAACTCGCGAGTTTCCCGAGGGAAACTCGAGAGAAACAGAATGGAGCACCAAACACCCTCTGGTTTCCCTGGAAACTTCCGGAAACGCAAAGTGCTGGGGACCCTCTGGTTTCCCTCTGGGTTGCCGGAAACCCTCGGACAGGCCAACAACTACTCGCACACCCAAACCTTTTCCCTCGCAACGCCTGACGACACCAAGCGCGACGGCGCGGCGCACTCGCACCATCACACGAACCGGCACCAGCTCCAGCACCGGCACCGATGACACCATCCGACCTCGTGCGCCGGTGGGCAGACTGCTCGCCTTCGAAGCGGCCACCTTGGAGGCGGAGCCTCGCCTCGGAGCCGAGACAGCAGCTGCCCGAATCACACGTGAACTGCTGAGAGTTTGTCGCCGCGGTCGTTTTCTCTACTTCTTCCGCTCGCCTCGCCCGACGGACGAACGTTTGTCGTCGGCTGCAAAACACAATGGAGCTGCCTCGCGAGGTCTGCGAGCGTGCCATGCGCGGCGAGCTTAAGCCGTCAGTGCCCGCGGCAACGGCCGCTCTCAGCACAGCCGGCGATGCGGGAGTGCTTGCTAATCCCAAGCCTCTCCCCTGTAGGATGCCAGAGCGCCAGCAGCGGACGACGACGGCTCGGCTGGTGCCAAAGACCCCGACACCGTCTGCTTTTGCTTGCCTCCGGCGCTCGCACGCGGCTTGCTGGTTGTCTTTATCATGGCGGGGGCGCAGACAGCGTCATCGGAGCTGACGAGCCTGGGATTGTCGCATCTCAACGCACCCTTCTTCACCATGTACATTCACACAGTTTTCATGGTCATGCTCGCGCCGCTCATGGCGCTTTTTGAGTGGTGCTGCTCTTCGACCGCGTCAAAGGCGTCTCGAGACACCTGGCGGTCAACGCTGTGGCTTGACGGCCAGCCACAGGAGGGCGTGTGCGTGCCACCCCTGGCGTGGCTCGCGGCCGAGTTCTACCTGTACTTTGTGCCCGCGAATTATGCATACGCGCGTGCCCTCGTGTACGCATCGCCTGGTCTCGTCACGGCCACCTTCTCGTCATGCAGCGCCTTTGTGGCCGTGCTCTCTTACTTCTGGCTAAACGAGCCCATGACGGGCGCCAAGATTGCTAGTGTGGGGCTCGCCATTGCGGGCATTCTCGTGCCGGTCTATTCGTTCAGCAACGGCGGGCTAGCGCAGGGCAAAAGCCCGTCCCTCGGCGTCGCCTTTGCGCTCCTCTCCTCAGTGAGCGCGGCGGTATATAAGGTGCTTTACAAGGCCCGCTTCCCTGGCGACCTCTCGGTCAGACAGCTCAGCGTCTTCCTCACGTTGATGGGCGGCATCAACGTGCTGCTGGGAACGGTGCCGTGCATACTTCTCGGCGCATCGGGCGTGGAGGAATCGGCGTGGTCGCTCGACCCACCGTTGTCTGCGTTGGCGTGGGGCGCCATCCTTGGTGGCTCGGTCCTGGTGTTGGTCTTCAACACATCGATCGCCATTGGCATTGCGATCACGACGCCCCTCTTCATTTCGATCGGCACAGAGATCACCATCCCCGCGACCATGGTGGTGGACGGCATCACCAAGGGAGTGGTGCCGCCCTGGCAGCAGTGTCTCGGCGCGCTACTGCTCGTCCTTAGCTTCGTCGTTCTCGTGCTTGCCGGGATCAGCGAGGGCAAAGCCGGCGGACACGGACGCGCTCGGAGTCGGACGCCGCAGCTGTCAACGCCGGCGTTCAGCCGGGCGCCAAGCATGACTTAGTGTCATACGAAGACCCTTTGGCTTCGCGTTATGAAATTACACAGCACAGACACATGCCAGTACAGTACGGGATAGTCTGGACACACAGGGACTGAGCTCCGACTGGCTCTCTCCTCCACCGCGCTGCGCGGCCTGCGCCTGGTGCGCCCCAGTGCATTATGCCTAGACGCCGAAACGCTTTCTGCGCGAGGGCGTGGAGCCGCCGGGCCGGTCGCTTCTGCTGCTCGAGGAGCCGGCGGCTGAGAAGGAGAGCCCGCCCGGGGTGGCGATTCGATGCCTCCCGGAGCCTCCGCCAGTGGAGCTGCCGGTGCCGAGCCGCACCTCGGCCGCCTCCTTGGCCGCCTTAAGCTCCTCGTGCTGGCGCATCTCCTCCGCCATCGCGGCCTTGTTCGCGCGCGCCTTTGCCTTCTTCTCGAGCCGCGTCTCGCCCTGCTGCTTGATCGAGAAGAACATTGGCCCGAGCTCGGCCAGCCACTCCGGATCGACGGCTGTGACGCACTGCATGTACTCCTTAGAGGTCATCACCAGCTCGTGGTACACGATGTAGTCGGGCTGCACGCCCATGCCGAAGAGGGCGGAGGAGGGGTGCAGGTGGCAGGGCATGCCGTTGCGCATGTTGACGTACTCACCGATCGTCTTCATCTTTGCCGCATTCATGAAGTAGGCGGAGCAGATGGCCTTGCGCACCTGGTCGACGTCGGAGCCGCAGGCGGTGACGCGCATCTTGAGCTGCTTGCAGATGTCGAGGATCTGCTCGCGAACCTCTTTGACCTTGCGCATCGCCTTGGCGTGGATGAAGTGCTTGTTGCACCAGTCGGAGCGGTAGTTGTTCCGCCGCCACTGCAGGTACACGTTGTGCAGCGTTAGGTGGTCGCTCTCGGGCGCAAAGAACTTTTCGCGCGCTGCGTCGCTCTCCGCCTCGCGCTCCTTGGGCCGGTAGAAGATGGTGGGCATCGAGAGGCACGAGACGACGGTCGCGACGTCGTCGACGCAGCCGAGGTCTTCCGAGAAGAGGAGCATCTTTGCGAGAGTGGGGTCGAGCGGGAACTCAACCATCCTGCGGCCCATCGGCGTGAGCTCGCCGGTGTTGGCGAGCGCGCCGAGGAACCAAAGGTGGTACATCGAGTTGAGGAGGTTGTCCTGCGGCGGCGGGTCCATGAAGTCGAAGGTGAGCAGGTTGTCGATCCCGAGCGACTTGAGCAGCAGCACCACGTTGCCAAGGTTGGTCCTCTGGATCTCGGGCACCGTCTGCACGAGAAGCTCGTGCGAGTACGCGTACTCGGTGTACAGCCGGTAGCACCGGCCGGGACCGGTGCGGCCGGCGCGGCCGGAGCGCTGATTGCAGCCGGCCTGTGAGGTCGGGTACACCGTCAGCGAGTCCATGCCCATGCGCGAGTTGTACACCTGTCCGCGGCAGGGCGGCGTGAGCAGCGCCCCTGCCACGCCACCACCCGCCCAACGTGAGCCGCCGCACGCCGCACCTTGAGCTTGCAGAAGCCGGAGTCGATGACGTAGTAGATGCCGTCGACGGTGAGGGATGTCTCGGCGATGTTTGTCGCCACGATGACCTTGCGGGCGCCGTCGGGCGCCGGGTCGAAGATCTTTGCCTGCAGCTCCGACGGGAGGAGCGAGTAGACGGGCAGCACCAGGATGGGCGGCACTCCTTCCCCGCACTCGATCAACCGCTCGCTGATGCCCTCGCAGGTGGCGAGGATGTCCTCCTGCCCCGTCATAAAGATGAGGATGTCGCCCTTGGGCTGCGAGAGGTGGATCTGGATCGCTTGCTTGATGGCCGCCTCGAGGTAGTCCTCCTGCGGCACTTTGGCGTACAGAATGTCGACCGGGAAGGTGCGGCCTGGGATCTTGAAGACGGGCACGGAGCCAAAGAACTCGGAGAATTTGTTGGCGTCCATCGTCGCCGACGTGACGATGAGCTTGAGATCGCGGCGGCGCGCGACCGTCTTTTTGAGGATCCCTGCGGCGGCGGCGGAGACCAGGACGCGGTGAGTCGCGCTTTCACGGGCGGAGGGGCGGGCGGTCGTGCAGCGGTGCCAAAGAGGACGTCCGTGTTGAGCCCGCGCTCATGCGCCTCGTCCATGATGATGGCCGAGTACTTGTCGAGGTCGGGCTCTGTGAGCGACTCGCGCAGCAGCACGCCGTCCGTCATGTACTTGAGGACCGTCGCCTCTGAGGTCACGTCCTCGAACCGGATCGAGTAGCCGACCTCCTGCCCGAGCTCGCAGCCGACCTGAGCGGAAGACAGCGCGGACGGCGTCACGGGCGGGCGGCGGCACGAGCAGGCGCGCTCTCATCCTCCCCCACGCAGGCTCGCCTCGTCCGCGACTCTCTTAGCGACCGACATGGCGGCGACGCGGCGAGGCTGGGTGCAGCCGACGATGCCGTAGGTGGTGTACCCGTCCTCCATCAAGTACTGCGCGATCTGCGTCGTCTTGCCGGAGCCCGTCTCGCCGACGAGGATGAGCACCTGCGGGGGCGCAGGGAGACGGGGGTTCAGGCCGTGCGCCTCCGCCGCTGCCCCTAGTCGTCGGGGAGACGGGCTCCGGCAGGACGACGCAGATCGCGCAGTACTTGATGGAGGACGGGTACACCACCTACGGCATCGTCGGCTGCACCCAGCCTCGCCGCGTCGCCGCCATGTCGGTCGCTAAGAGAGTCGCGGACGAGGCGAGCCTGCGTGGGGGAGGATGAGAGCGCG